ATTCAGCATGTGACCTTCTACATTGTGATGAGACCATATTTACTTCATCTTTAGGCTCCATCATTCTCTAGAGAGTCCTGTGCTGGATCTTCTGCATCTGGCCAGCAAGTAGGGGAAGTGAGAGAGAGCGTAGCTGGTGAAGCAGGAGACCCCCCCCTTTTTTTTATAAGCCATTACTGGAAATAGCTGATCTCATTTTCTTCTATATTCTAGTGTGTGGAATTTAGTTACATGACCGTCTATCTGCAAGAAAGACTGGGAAGTGTTATCTAGTTTTGTGATAGGAGAGAAAACAAGTGGTTTTGGTGCATATGGTAGTTTCTGTCACAAAGGCAGATATAGTAATTTAGGCTTAAGATGATGATGACTCAGACTAGGGTTGTATTAGTGGATTTATATTCTCAAGGTATATATACTTAAGGAGATAAACTTGATAAGACTTGATATATTATTTAGGTTGTAGGCTAGTCATAGAGACTCCAAAACAGAGTATCTCGTATAAGATAGAAGTTAATTTTTCCTCCTTATAAAATAGTTTAACCAGCCTCGGTTCATCTGTGGTTTTAACTTTAGAAAAGTGTGAAATATCAGTAAGAAATGATAATCACAAATTACTGAACAGGATTCCAGCTTATCATTCTATAATGTTTGGGAAAATTGTACCAGTTATATATTTTCTCAGGTAAGTTTCGTGGTTTATAAAAATATATATAAATGTAACCCTTCTTAGAATTTTAATGTACTTCTGGTGGTTACTGACTGGGAATCTTGTCTTCATACTACCCCAAATATGAAGGGCTTTACTGGTGGGATTTTAAGTGAAAAAAATCTTTCTGAATTATTCAGAAAACAAAACACATTTTGAAAAGAGAGAGAAATTTCATTTTGTGGACAAGCACTAGTATGAATACATCTTGAAGCATTTGTGGAAAGCAGAAAGTTTTTTCGAGGCAGAAACATAAAAATTTCGTGAATAATACTTGTAACTATTTCAAGATTATGGGGAAAGTTGTTAGAGTAGAAATTATTTAGATTTTTTTTTGAACCTGAGAGAGAAAAATGTTTCTTTTCCTCATCTGGGAGCAAGTCTCAGAAATATGTAGCCTCTTTAGTGAACATCCTGAACACTTGTTTTCTTATATACTGTAATACTTGACCATAAACAACTTTTGCTCAAGAATGACCTTTGTACTTTTAATTGCAACATTTAAGTATTTGAACAGCCTCTGTAAAATCTCCATACAGCACTAGGTGGCACACTGTGACTTTGGATGAAAATACACATATTTTGTTGAAGAAGCCTGTGAGAAAAGAACCTAGGTAAAAAATACTGTTTGAAGTAGACATCTGTGTTATGAAGTATCTCAGAACTATTTATTACATTTCAAACACTGATACTTAGATTATAATGTTTAAAACTTTTATTTATGCTACTACTGAGATTTTTAAATAAGATTGGTTTAAAAATGATTAGAATTTGTGGATTTTTACTGAAAGGAGTTCATTTAGCATATATTACAGAAAGCATCTGTGCTTTAAAATGAAAGTAGTTATAATGTTTTTGCATATAAAGTATTGGAATCAAGAATTAAAAACAGTCTTGAGCTGGTGACTTTTTTCTTTGAATGTGTGTCTTTGTGTGTACTAAGTACAAAATAACTAACTTGGTAAAATTTATGGTAGAACTGAAATGTTTATAGACGTAGAGAATATAATGAAGTTTCTGGTTTAGTGTTACTACAACATTGCTATCTTGTGATTACCCATTTTAGTTCTTGGTACCTCATTATTTTGTGAAGACTTTTGATAAAGAATATAATGTATGGAATATTGAATTTTATGACCTGATAAATATGCCTATACTTAGAGAATTTTTTATGATTGTGTAAAGGAATTATCTGAAGTAGAGCTGAAAGCAGGCCTTTTTTTTTTCCCTGAGTTGGAGTCTCACTCCATCGCCCAGACTGGAGTGCAGTGGCACGCTCCCAGCCACTGCAGCCTTGACCTGCTGGGCTCTGGCGATCCTTCTGCCTCAGCCTTCCAAGTAGCCGGAACTACAAGTGTGTGCTACCATGCCCAGCTAATTTTTGATTTACTGTAGAGATGAGGTCTTTCTAAGTTGCCCTGGGCGGATCTCGGACCTGCGGGCTCAGGCAGTCCACTTACCTCGGCCTCCCAAAGTGCTGGGATTACAGGCTGAGTCACTGAGCCTGGCCAGGCCAACTGTTTATACCTGTTCATTTGGCCTGGAAGGAATGGTGAAACGGTGCTTAGGTAATCTAAGTGATAGATGCCAATGTAAGTTAGATAGAACTGAATAATACTTATTAGGAGATGTCCTTAAGCTAAAGAAAGAGGCTTTATGGTGTTACATTGATTGGAAAGTATGGGAGTAAGAAGAGAATTTGCAAATCTAGAGGGCACCGGATGGAACTCTGACAGTGATCACAGACTAATGAGTTTCAGTGAAAGCTTAATGAGTCAGATGAGTAGATGCCATATGGATATCCAGGGTAGGGTTAGAGGAATGAAGGAATGTGGGTACAGGTTATGTTAAAAATGTAGAAAGTTCTGGAGAGGAAAATTTGGGTTAGCTTCTCATCACAGGGAAGTAGAGTGGAAGAGAACAGTCTTTGTTTTCCTAGTAGTTTTTATATTGGTTGACTGGTTCATTTATGTACTAGAACCCAAGTCCTATCGCATAATGAGTTTAGCCCCTGTGGTTATTCCTTCTTTTCTAGCATAACATATTTTCTCTCTCTACTGGACTATTTTCATAGCACAAATATATGATATACCATCAACCATCTTACAAATCATTTGTTTATTTCTTTCTTTGTTCTCCTTTACAATAAAACTCAAAAAAAATTTTTTTATACACTATCTCCCTTCTATCATAATTCTCTTTTAACCCTTTTTGGTCAAGATTTTGACTTGCTATTCTGCTGAATAGGTAATAAATTATCAATATATTAGAGTTTATGATAAATTACTACTTTTGTTACTTCCTGGACAATGCAAGGCTGTCAATCTTATTACTGCTCCTTTAAAGGTAGAGTTGTTTTTTTCCTCTTCATTTGTATGCTCTTAAGATTTTTCTCTTTGTTTCAGGTTACCCTTGTTTTTCTGTGATATTCTTTGGTGTGGTTTCCTTTGTATTTATCCTGCTTGGGGTTTGTAGAGCTTCTGAGAGAATTGGGCTTATATCTTTTATCCAATTTATTTTACACTATCAAAGACATTAGTGAGGCATTAGGTGAAATTGCTATAATTTAGGTAATAATTATGTATCTGATAATTTCCTGACTTATAGTTGTAGTGTGGTTATATAGGAAATACACATTTAAGTATTTACTGACAAGAGATAACTGCAGTTTATTTTCAAATGCTTCAGGAAAAAAAACTGAGGGTGTTTTGTGTATTCTTTGTGCTAATTGGTAATTTTTCTGTAACTTGAATTTATTTCAAAATATAAAGTAATATGTATCAATTTAGCTCACTTTTGGCTTCTTATCACACAGTCACATGTATTTGTTTACATACTGTCTATGGCAGCTTCATATAAATTCCAGAATGGAATAGTTGTCACAGAGACCATATGGCCTGCGAAGAGTTAAATAAAATATATTTTTAATCTGGCCTTTTGTAAAAAAGCTTGTTGACCTCTGATCTAGAGTGTATTGTAGTGACTTTTTTCTTCTTCCGAAGTCATTCTACTCATTAATAAGTTCCTTCATTTGAGAATGATTTGTTGCTTTTTCTTTATATATCCCCAAATAAACAAGCAATTAAAATTAACCAGTAGGTAGGGAAGAACTCAAAATGGAAGGTAAATAGTAACATATTTGAGGTGAAGATTAGAAAAACTAATTCAGTGATTTTGGCAAACAGTACTTTGACTGGATATTGTAAGTCTAAAGACAAGAACTATTCAGAAATGTTGTGTTTTAGTTAATAGATGTGTTTATCATAGGGATATGGGTTAGCAATTCTGAAGCTACTTTATGTATATATTAGAATTGAACAGATAAGAAAATATATTATAGATAATGAGAGCTGGATTTCTTACTGTTGGAGAAAGAAGTTTCAAATAAGGAAAAGGGGAAGCTAAAATGAACCCTGTGGTGTAGGAATGAAATAGAAGTATCAGTATAAACTCATAACTTTTGATATCTGTATATGCACAATTTCAGATCTGTGTACTATGTGTTAATGTGCAAACATATAGTTCCTCTTATCTCCTTCTGTGAGTTGACTGGGTGGTTCTTGTGGTGTTGACTGGGGTGCTGGCCTAACAGCAATTATGTGGGATCTCAGCTGGGTTGAAGTGTCCACAATGGCTCACTTACACTGTGAGCAGAGGATGCTCTCTGTCAGCTGGGAGTTCAGCTGGGGTCTGTCAACCAGAGTGCTGCCTCTTGTGCTCTCTCTACTATTGGCTTGGGCTTCTCATGACATGCTGACTGGATTTGCAATTTAAATATGTGTATAATAGGAATTATTGTAAATCCCAATAACTTGGAGATAAAATTAAGTAGCTAACAACCGGGTGGAGATTTACTTTAGCATGATCTTTAGGGAATGAAAAAAGGATTTTCCAAAACATTTTCTACTGCAGAGATCTTTCAGGGGAAATATATAGCATGTTTGTTAAAAACTGATCTCTTTGGTACTTGGATCTGTTGATATGTACAGAATGGTGCTGATATGGGTACACAGCGGTGTTCATGTGCTTTAGAACATTTTGTCAAATCTTAGGTTGTATTTATTCTTTAAATAATTTGTTTATTTTTAAAGTTGAAAAATTCAGTCTTTTTGGACCTAACAGAGACTTGGAGCTTACTTTCTTTGATCTGTTTGACTGCCTTCCAATTCCCAAATTAGTTTTTAGTGTTTCTTTTTTGAGAAAATGTGAGAAATAATGACTTTGTCAAATATATTCTAATACCGACTAATCTAATATCTAATAACCTAGTAAATATTCTCTTTTCCATACATAGGCTTCATTCCAGCGCTCCAACAGTCATGACAAAGTAAGAAGAATAGTTGCAGAGGAGGGTCGTACAGCAAGAAACCTAATAGCCTGGAGTGTTCCACTAGAAAGCAAAGATGATGATGGTATGTATTAAAAAATATGCTTAATTTTTGTTGTTAATTAGAAGAATATATTTAGTCCTAAGCAGATTGACCAAGAACTATTTACAATTAGAACTCTTGGGCAAATTAGTGTATATTAAATAAGAAATAATTTTTATTGCTTTTGTACACAAATGGTTTTAATAAAAGCCTTATTGTTGGTTTTACTGTTTCAGATAGTAATGAAATTGTTTTTTTAAATGTTATTATGACTGGCAGATTATGGTTTTTTTAAAATTATAAGATAATTTCTATTTTTTCTTTTATTACATTCTTATAAGAATAAAAATAGGTTTTAAAAAATTTAACATATTTACCATGATTAGATGCAATTTAATGTAATGCTTTAGAAAATCAATGATATTTCGTTAGTTCCCATTATTACAATTTGTACTAGAAAAAAATATCTTCTCTCTTTAGTTTTCTCCCTTTTATGACTAGAGGCAATATGAGGCCATTGATCTAGTGATATGGAAGATTGGGTAGGGATACAGCAGGCAGGAGACTGGAGTGTGCTAAAGAAGACTTCACTTGGACATTTTCTAAGGCTTTGTAGAACATTCCTCACAACTGGGTTTCTCTGATGTCTTTTCATGATTAGATTCAAGTGTGTGTTTTTGGTAGGAATTCTATAGAAATGATGTAGTGTCCTTTTTAGTGCATCAGAGGAGGCTCATAATAATGGTTTGTCTTCTTATGAGTGATGTTAACTTTAAATAATAATGGTTTGTCTCCTTATGAGTGATGTTAACTTTAAACAGTTGGTTAAGTTTGTGTCTGACAAGTTTTTCCACTGTAAAGTAACTCAAAGTGAATAATTTGTGGTAAGATAGTTTGAAACTATGTAAATATCCGGTTTCTTGAAACAATTTACCCATTACTTTTAGCATCTACTGATAATTCTTAGTTTTTTAAGTTACAAATATGGTGGTTGTAAGATGGTGTTTTACTAACTCCATTGTTCTTTCTCCAGTTATTAGTTGGCCTTTTAATGTGAGGAACAGCTTTCCCATCTCCTCTTTATTTTCATGTATGTGTGTATTTATAAATTTAAATTTGTGTGGACTTATGGCTTCTTATGATATTTAATGGGTTATAATCTATTACTTTATTTTGATACTCTAATTGTTCTGGATTTGTCTAGTAGGAGACCTTTTAAGTTGGCTTCTATTTCCTTTTGATATGTTCTTATATTTCTTTGAGAAAATCTTTGTACAACAAGCTATTTTATGCTAAACAAGAATTCACCCATATTTTATTTTTTAATTTCTTTATATCTTATTTTATTTAAAATTGTCTTTTTAGAGTATATCTTTTTTTTTAAACCTTTAGAGCTCTGATCCATTTGTAGTTTATGCTTATATATAGTGTGAGGTATGGCTCTGATTTTATCTTTTTCTTTATGGTTAAGAAGTTGCCCAGTATCGCTGACTATAACTTTGCCCCAGTTATATGAGATTCCTTCTTTTTTGTAGGTTGAATTTCCATGCATACTTGTGTTTAGATCCGCTAGTTTACCTAATTCATGTATGAGTACCACACTATATTAAATCTAAAGCATTATAGAATTTTAAAATACTTGCTGGACTAGTCTTCCCCTGTAGACTTCCCCTGTAGATTTCTTTCTCAGTCTTCCTAGCTTAGAGAGCAGTTATTTTGAATCACAAGAGCTATCAAATGGAGGGGAATCAAATTTATTTTTTGAAATTTAGCTTCTTACTAGCTAATCTTTGCATAAGGAGTTTACTATTCATTTAGTTGATGAAAATGCATATCAACATTTATTACAAAAGTAAACATGTAGTTACTGTATATTATAAATGTCTTTATATGAAGTTTTATTTTCTCATTTTCCTGGGTTATTTAGAACATAAAATAGTCCAAAGGTGTTTTAATTAAAGTTGTTTCTATTCAAAAAACATAAAAGGAAAGAAAATATAATGATGAATCGTATATCTGTGCTGGCTTCTGCCCATCGAAGCTGGATTGGATTAAAAAAAAAATGCGAGCCGGGCTCGGTGGCTCAGCCTGTAATCCTGTGCCTTTGGGAGGCTGAGGTGAGTGGATTACCTGAGCCCGCGGGTTCGAGACCTGCCTGGGCAACTTGGCGAGACCTCATCTCTACAATTAAAAAAAAAAAAAATTAGCCAGGTGTGGTAGCATGCACCTGTAGTTCCAGCTACTTGGAAGGCTGAGGTGGAAGGATCGCCGGAGCCCCAGCAGGTCGAGGCTGCAGTGGCCGTCCAGTCTGGGCGACAGAGTGAGACTCCAACTCAAAAAAAAAAAAAAATGTGGTACATATACACAGTGAAATATTATGCAGCCATAAAGAAGGACAAACATATGGACTTTGCAGCAACTTGGGTGGATTTAGAGTCTAAATACTCAGTGACCTATCACAGAAACAAAGAACAGAGTACCATATGGTCTTACTCATAAGCAGGTATGAATTTTCATATAAGTACATAAACAATTGGCCAGCACAGTTTTATTATTTATTTATTTGAGTTGGAGTCTCACTTCATTGCCCAGACTGGAGTGCTAATTTTTGATTTATTGTAGAGACGAGGTCTTGCCAAGTTGTCCAGGCTGGTCTCGAACCCACGGGATCAGGCAATCAACTCTCCTTGGCCTCCCCAAGTGCTGGGATTACAGGCTGTGCCACTGAGCCCAGCCCAGTTTTAATTTTAATTTTTTTATTTTAAAGAGTTGAGGAACAATTCAGGGTTAGGTATGCAAATGTTCATTATGCAGGTACCCTTGTTGATGAGGTGTGCCACCCTCCCCTGGCAGTTTCCCTCAACTGCCAATCCTACCCTCTCTCCCCTGGTAGTTTCCCACTACTGCTAATCCCTTTCTTATAGTATTATGATAATTGTTCAAGGTCTGCTTATGAATGAGAACATATGGTACTCTGTTCTTTGTTTCTGTGATAGGTCACTGAGTATTTAGACTCTAAATGCATCCAAGTTGCTGCAAAGGCCATATGTTTGTCCTTCTTTATGACTGCATAATATTTCACTGTGTATATATACCACATTCTTTTTAAATCCAGTCCAGCTTCAATGGGCAGAAGATAGTACAGTTTTAGTGCTTATTGCAAAGTAATAAAACTATAAACACAGGGAATTAGAAATTTCTGAATATCTGTAATAATGATGACAAAGAAGAATATTAACATTTCTAATTTTGACAAGGAATGTTTTATGTTATTAAAATGTTGCCACTTAAAGGAAAATGTTTATTTTTTAAATAGCAACTTGTTCTTGTTTTATGGCTACAATATATACTTATGTTTCTGAGTAAAGTAATTTCATTTTTAAAAAGTTTTTCCAAGCCAGGCATAGTGGCTCAAGCCTGTAATCCCAGCACTTTGGGAGGCCAAGGTGAGAGGATTGCTTGAGCCCAGGGGTTTGAGACCAGCCTGGACAACTTGGTGAGACCTCATCTCTACAGTAAAAAAATAAAAAAATTAGCTGGGCATGATGGTGTGCACCTGTAATTTCAGCTATTTGGAAGACTGAGGTGGAAGAATTGCCTGAGTCCAGCAGGTGGAGGCTGCTGTGGCCATGAGCATGCCACTGCACTCCAGCCTGGATGACAGTGAGGCTCCAACTCCAAAAAAACAAAAAAAGTTCTCTATTTTGTATTATTTCTGTTTCCATTCTTGTTTTTCTGCTGGATATTCTAAAACAGTCCTGCTAGTATGGTGTTCTATGTGACAAAAGGATGAATGAAGGACTGTGAAAGTTAGTGTGGAGTTCTTTGTCTTTATCCCTGATAGAACAGTGAAGGAGCTCCATTTATGTCAGAAAAGCTGTTAGTAGGTACATATTTGTATGGCTCACTGTACTTACTCTGGCCCCAAAATTATTTTGCAGAAATGACAATTATTCTTTTATACATTATAGAATTTTATTTCCGTTTTGAGTTGCTATGGAGAATAGGGTGATTATAAAATAGTGGTTAGTATCTTTCTTGTAAAAAAAGAACAAGTGAGAAAGATGCATCTGACTGCAAAAATACAAAGAACTGAAAACTTCTGTTTTTATAATGAAACTGTATAATTCATAAATCCAATAAACTAATTAAAATAAAATATTGGGATTTTCCATGGTAAAAATATAGTCTTAACTTTATTGTTGAAATAAAATTTGAATTCAGATTAGTATTTTGTAGACTTGTATACAAGCTGAGGAATACCAGTACTGGGCCTTGTTTTTAAATTGTCAGAGTATCTGATTTCTTTAGGAAGTTGATTTATTCCTGTTCTGAGAAGGCTATTCATTAAAAGCTGTCTCTGGGACTTTAGCTTTTTTTTTCTTTCCTATATAGGTTCATATTGACCATGAATAGAGTGTACTGATTTGTATAGTTTAGTTTTCTATTATCCAATTACCTCTAGTTCAATTTTATATTATGTGTCTGTCATTCTATCTATCTATTTATTTATTTTTCTTGCCTTGAAGGAAAATCTAAGTGTCAAACTGGTGGAAAACCTAAGAGGACAATTCAAGGCACTCATAAAACTACTAAACAGGTACAGCATATATAACTTTTTACTTATTTACTTTTAATTTCAGTTTCTGAGTATATTATAAATTATGAATATCTAACTTTTTAGAATCTGAATATTGTATATTTTATCCAAATGTAAAAATTAATACAACATTTTAAACCTAACATGTATGATAGTAATCTCTTTGTGCCTTGCTTACATTAACTACTATACAAATATTAATATACTTGGTTCTCAAAACTAATCTTTGATATAAGCATTACTATTATTCTCACTTATAAAAATGAAGTTTTATTACAAAAATCATCTGAGGCAGAGAGAGGGTATGTATTATGTAACTTGCTTGTAAGTGACACAGCTAGGATTTGAACCCAGGCTGTCAGTTTTCGCAGTTTATGCTCTTAACCCTTCTGCTAAAGATTCCATATTTGTTAGTTCCTTTATAATTTTTCTCTCTGGGTATAATGATGCCTTTAGGTTGTGGGAAGTAGAGATATTTTAATTCTAAAAATTTTAAAATTTCACCCAGCCAAATTTCTAACCAGGCCCTATCCAGCTTAACTTCTGAGGTCAGATGTGATTGGGCATGTTCAGGGTGGTATGCCATAGACTTAAGTCTCAATTTTGTTTATTTCTTCAGTGATCTTTATTTACCTATTTTTTTTTTTAGGACGCAGGGTCTTGCTGGGCACAGTGGCTCACACCTGTAAAACCAGAACTTTAGGAGGCAGAGGCGAGAGGATTGCTCGAGCCCAGGGTTTCGAGACTAACCTAGGCAATTAGGCGAGACCTGGTCTCTACAATGAATAAATAAAAAATTAGCTGGGCACGGTAGTGCTTACCTGTAGATCCAGCTACTTGGAAGGCTGAGGCGGAAGGGTTAACTGCACCCAGCAGGTTGAGGCTGCAGTGGCCATGATCTTGCCACTACACTCTAGCCTGGGTAACAGAGTGAGATTCCAACTCAAAAAAAAAAAAAGAACAACGAAAAAGAGGCTGTTGCCCAGGCTGGGATGCAGTGACATGACCCTAGCTCACTGCAGCGTTCAGCTCCTGGGCTCAAGCAGTCCTCCTGTCTCAGCCTTCTGAGTAACTGGGACTATAGGCCAGCTATACACTTGGAAAATTTTGTTTTGAAATGGGGTCTCACTGTGTTGCTTAGGCTGGTCTCGAACTCCTGGCCTCAAGCAGTCCTCCCACCTTGACTACCCAAACTGCTGGGATTACAGGCATGAGCCACCACACCTAGCCTGCACTGATTTAATATTATTTCTTTTCTTATAATAATTGTGGGTTTGGTTTGTTCTTGCTCTTCTGATTCCTTGAGATATATTATTAATGTGTTTGAAATTTTTCTGCTTTTTTGATGTAGATGTTTATTTGATGTAGATGTTTACTAACTTTCCTCTTAATAGTGTTATTGCTGTATTTCTTAGATTTTGGTATGTTGTATTTCTGTTTTAATTTGTTTCAATAAATTTTAAAATATCCTTCTTAATTTTGCTATTGACCCTTTGGTCATTCAAGAACGTACTTTTAAAATTGTCTTATATTTGTACAGTTTCTAAAGTTCTGTTGTTATTGATTTCTCGTTTTATTTCATTGTGGTCAGAAAAGATGGTTGATATGATTTTAGTCTTTAAATATTTGTTGAGACTTGTTTTGTGTTTTAACATATGTTTTATCCTGGAGAATGTTCCATGTACTGATGAAAAGAATGTATTTTGTAGTTGTTGGATGAAATGTTCTGTAAATATTTTTTAGGTTCATTTGCTCTAAAGTGCAGTTTAAATATGTTCTTTTGTTGATTTTCTGTCTAGATGATCTGTCTAGTGCTAAGAGTGGGGTGTTAAAGTCTCTATTACTGTATTGGAGTCTTTCTTTAGATCTAATACATGCTTTGTATATCTGCATTCTGTGGTGTTGGATGCTTATATAACTGTAATTTTTATATCTTTTTGCTGAATTGATCCCTTTATCATTATATAATGATCTCCTTTGTCTCTTTTTGCAGTTTTTTTTACTTAAAGTCTGTTTTATCTGATATAGGTATAGCCACTCCTGGTTGCTTTTGGTTTTTATTTGCATGGGATATCTTTTTTTCATCTTTTTACATTAGTTCTATGTGTGTCTTTAAGGTAGTGTGAGTTTCTTGAGGGCACTATATAGCTGAGTCTTGTTTTTTTAATCTATTCAGCCAGCCTGTCATTTATTTGAGGAATTTAATACTGTTTACATTTAATGTTATTATTGATAAGTGAAGATTATTGAAGGATGAGAGCTATTTTGCTGTTGTTGTTTTTAGAGATAGGGTCTTACTGTGTTGTCCAGGCTGGAGTGCAGTGGTGTGATCATAGCTCACTGCAGCCTTCAACTCCTGGTCACAAGCAGTTCTTCCATCTCAACCTCCCAAATAGCTAGGACTATAGGCCTGCTCCATTATGCCTGGTCAATTATTTCTATTTTTGTAGAGGTGAGGTCTTACTTTTTTTTATAGCCCAGGCTAGTCGAACTCCAGGTCTCTAGTGATACTTCTGCTTCATCCTCACAAGATGCTGGAATTACAGGCCTGCGCCACCTTGCCTGACCGATGAGAGTTTTAAGGTCCTTAAAAAAGACCTTCAGGCTGGGCTCCGTGGCTCAGCCTGAAATCCTAGCACTTTGGGAGGCCAAGGTGAGTGAATTGCCTGAGCCCACAGGTTCAAGACCCACTTGGGCAACTTGGCAAGATCTCATCTCTACAATAAATAAAAAATTAGCCTGGCGTGGTAGCGCGCACCTGTAGTTTCAGCTACTTGGAAGCCTGAGGCGGAAGGATCGCCGGAGCCCAGTGGGTCGAGGCTGCAGTGACCGGGAGCGGCCACTGCACTTCAGTCTGGGTGACAGAGTGAGACTCCAACTCAAAAAAAAGAAGACCTTCAGAAGTGGAATTATAGTGTGCTAGATGATGATAACTAGTAGAACTAGTAAACATGAGGTGAGGTAAGAGAAGTAATACACTAAAATGCAAGAAACTCAAAGGCTAGATAAAAGTTTACAGAATAAAATATCAAAGCACATGAGGAAAATAATGTCATGAAATATAGACAATGCATTCCACACGAGAGAATTTATTTCTGAGATAATGAAAAAAAATAAGGCATTTGTAAAGAGGACTTTCAAATAAGTAAGTTTAAATTTCTTAAAGGAAAGAATAACTATAAAGCAAAAGGGAACAGTTAAGAAATACAATAGGTGATTATTAATTATGAGCATTTGTAGATAAAAGTGAAATCTCACAACAGTTTTAATTTCTGAGTAATAGATGCTTAGGTATTATATTTTTTCATCTATAAAATGACGTTAATACTATATACCTTATAAGCTTATTCTGAGGGTTCATTAACTTAATCTATGTATAATATACTTAAAGCAATATTTGGTATATAGTAGCACACACACAAAAATGTTTTGACTTTGGTATCTCTGGTGGCATTATGAATCAGTCTCTCTCTCTCTCTCTCTCTCTCTCACACTGACTCTCATTTTCTGAATTGAGCATATATTTCTTTTATGGTAGAAAAATTACTAAAAAAAACCAAGTTTATATATTAGTTAGTTCATATTACATTGAAAAAGTAGGTATTAAGGTACACAGACTGATAAATTGAGTGGATTATTTAATTTTTCTTCAGGTACACATATAAGAACCTGTCTCTTATGTCAGAAGTGGACACCAAAAGAAATCTTCTTTTTGAATTTAAGATAAATTCAGATACCTACAAACTATAGGGAGAGAGGTTTTTAATCTGAGGTTTATTTTATATGCATGTGCATTTTTCCAAGGATAGGCCCATAGGTTACTTCAGATTCTCAGGGAGTCAGTGAGCCCCTTAGAGAGTATGATAGGCTCTAAATCCTGCAAAGTCCATAGTTTTGTTCTTCTTTGTGACTGTATAATATTCCATCATGTATATATACCACATTTTAAAAAATCCAGTCCACTTTCGATGGGCAGCACGTTTTGGTTCCCTGGACTCTATTCTTTAGAGTGAATCTGAACATTTGATACATAATGAGAGGATTGATGAATCGTTTACTTGGCCAGTTTTCTTTTCTCTGTTGAAACCTGACCTTTCTTGACTGCTTGTCATCACCCTACCTTCATATCATAGTTAACAGCTTTTCCTTTTTGTTAATGCTAGACCTCAGATGTAGTTTTATTATTACATTTCTTCCTCTCTTTTTCTCTTTCTTCTTTTCTTTCAAAAGTCATTGGTGAAAACACTGTTATCTCATGGAATCCAATTGGGTCTGTCTTTTCCTGAAAGTTTAGAATACTTTGTCTTCTGTTGAGTGTCTTGGGAAGCAGTTAGGCACAATAAGCTATAGAAGTTACCTGATTAAGCTATAGAAGTTACCTGATTAAGAATTCTGGCTTTGTCAATTATCTTAGTGTGAGGCTTTGGGTTAATAATTTGATTTAGCTAAACCTCAGTTTCCTCCTCTGTAAAATGGAGATGTTAGTATCAGTGGTACAAAAATTGCTTCAGAGGTATAAGTGTATAGAAAGTACTTGGTGCAGTGCTTGGCACATAGCAAGTATATAATGAATGTTAGATGCTGCTGCAGTTGTTATTATTGATGTTATTAATTTTTTTGTGGTAGTAGGTAGAGCCTCTATATTTTGAAACTCTGCCGGTTTATCAGCCTCTGATTTTTTTTTCTTTTTGTCTTTCATAATTGAGAGTTTATAGGTTGTGTTAAGGATCAGCACATAGACATTTTAGTTTGTACACATTTCTTAACATACATATCAGAAATCTAAAAAGCCATATATCATTTAAAAAAAGTTTTTCAGTGACCTTCCAGCTTAAAATTTGGAGACAAATTTTCCTTAAGAGCATATCAAGTACCAGTAACTTCAAATGTTGACAAGCTATTACATATATCCCACTAACTCATAGTTTATCATATATACAACGTACTCAATTATTCAATCTTTCACAGCACATTACCAAAGTTATTAGGAAAACAGGACTACCGTGACCAAAGATGTTACAGAGGGCAGACAATTCTGACAGGGAGAGCCATGAACAAGGAGTGATTTTCTTTAGGAAACAATTTTACTAGAACACAACATGGGAATAGAAGTAATTTTAAAGGTTCAAGACATTAAACGCAGGACTATGATCCATATTGGCACTTAGTGTAATTTGTATGATAGGATATAAAAGGTAACCTACCCCACCTATGAAATGTTAAACTGAACACCCAACATGGTCAAAACCTCCTGTAATTCAATATCCCACACTATCTTCTGGTTGTACCAAAAATAAACAACCAATGAAGACTTTCACCTCTTAAAAAAAGAATGCTTTTACACTTAAAAAAAGAAAATTGGAATGAGGTGGGATTCCCTCCTTCCTAAAGTGTTTCTAGAGCTACAAAAAACTTTCATTTACAAAACTTCTTGTGGATTGTACAAGAGGGGAGTTAGGGCCTACGAATAGGACATGGTGTGTGATATTATTATTCAGACTTGGCTTCTTTCCTGCTTCATTGGAGGCTGGCTTTTCCTCGATTTTAACTCCTCCATTTTTTAACTTCTTGGTTAACCACTTCAGCCTTTGCTCCCCTTTTCCCTTTTGCTTGCATTTTTGTCTGGAGATTGATCCTTCCCTGCTGCCTGTTTTTGGCTTTGCTTCCACTTTTGCAGGAGCAGATTTAGCCTACAACCGCACCAATCTCTTCTTGGCTCCTCTTTCGCTGCCCCCTCGGAGGTCGTGACCTTCCCTCTTGGGCATCTTCGCAGCGTGTGTGGCTGGTGCCTGCGGGCCCTGGCACCCCGAGAACCTTTAGGAAGCTGGGCTGCCTGGACGCTGCTGCTTCTCCTGCTGCCCGAGTTGCTAAGACCTGCCTTTTTTTTTCCCTCTAGATACAGAGTCTTGCAGTGTTGCCCAGGCTGGTCTTGACCTCCTGGGCTCAATGATCCTCCTGACTCATATTCCCAAGTAGCTGGGACTATAGGCATGTGCCACCATACCCAGCAAACCTCTATAATTTGATGTACCTAGTCTACCTTTCTTCACAAATTTGGCAGTTATTACCATTAGTTTATGCACATTTTTCTAGTTCCAGTTCTGTCATTCTTTTGACTTTGTCAAGAAATTTAGTCTTTCTGAGCCTCAGTTTTGTCATATACAAAATAAGAATGGTAATATTTGTCTTGTCCTTACAAGTTGTTGTGATGATTTAATGATACTATGTTTTCAGAAGTCCTTTATAAAATATAAATAAGCATTCAAATAGAAGGTATTACTATTTTTGTCAGTTTAATGTCAGTTGCATTACACATTGCCTATTACTTGGCTGTATGTAGTTTCTGCCCTTTTTGAATCTTTGTTAATAAAAATCTCAGATAAAGCAATCACAAATAATAGAAACATCTTAAACCCAAAGCATTATTGCCCATTGTTCAGTATAAGAAAGAATAGTAAAGTATTTAAATAATATATACATTTTTATGGATACATGACAGGGTAAATCCATAAATGGATGAAGATGAGTAACAGTATTTTTGAGAATTTAAGATTTAAGTGTGGGTTCACAGTAAGCTACTAACTAGCCCTTTACTGAGCAATATAGAAAAAACTTTGTAGAGCAGATATAATTCAGTAAACTTCCCAAGTTAATTTTAACTTTGAAAAAAACAAACAAAACGAAACAAAATTTTAACTTTGAATGGTATATGGAAAGAGAAATGAAATGATCTGGAACATCTGGTAAAGAGCTGTCAGCATTGGGCCTTGGCCAGCAGTCTAATGGGAAGCCAGCAGTGGTAATTGTAGATCTCTAACTGGAACATGGTCTTCTGTGGCCGTGTGACCTCAAACAAATCACTTTACCTCTGAACCTTAGTTTTCTAATCCGTAAAGTGGAGCTAATAATACATTAAAACTGTGTGAAGGGGGTCAGGAGGTTATGTGAAGTTGATTTATGATAAACAGTTGTTCCTCAGTATTCATGGGGAAATGGTTCCAGGACTCCCACAGATAACAAAATCCTTGGATGCTCAAGTTCCTTATATAAAATGGAATCATATTTGCATATAAACTGCACACATCCTTACCATATACTTTACAAAATCTTTAGATTATTTATAATACCTAATACAAATACTTTATAAATATGTATACTTTATTGTGTGGGGTTAATGACAGAATAAAAAAGCCTGTACATGCTCAGTACAGAGGGTTTTTTTTTTCCTAAGTGTTTTTGATATGCAGTTGGTTGAATTCAACGGATGTAGAGCCCGTGGATGTGGAGGACTGGTTGTATAGTAAATTGTTATTATAATTATTATGGTCATAGTTATCTGCAAAGTAATAGAAAAAGCTTTGCTCTGGGGCAGATGCTAGTTGAATGGGATTTTGAGTTTGGTTTAGCCCAAGGAAGAAATATTGCTATAGTAATTAAATCATTTACCATTTAGGGTTGGAAAGAACTTGGAGAGCAATTGTAGTGCCAGGTTTTATGGGTTGTTGAAAATTAAGTTTATTGCTTGAGTGTTGACAGAGATGGCTTTTCCCATCTTCATTGAGATTTGGGCCCGGACCTGCGTTGTCAGATAAAATATTTGCTATTTTTTATTTGATAAATCTGGCAAAAATATTTTTGAGCATTTCTTAAGATTGGAGTCTTACAGATGGGGGAGGCCTAGATATGAATGGAGGTCTATATATATATAGAGAGGTCATATGGAAGGAGGATGAACAGCTTTATCTACACCTCTTAAGTGTGTGTGTGTGTGTGTGTGTGTGTGTGTGTGTGTGTGTGTGTGTGTGTGTGTGGTTTGCTTGCTTGCTTTTTGGTAGTGATGGTGCTATATATACCAAAGATTAGCCAAAAAAGATTTATGAAGTATAGGAATTACTGTCATATTGAAGGCAGTGCCTAGATCATAACAGACAGAGTATTAGCCTCTGTTTCAGATATTCTCCACTCTGGAACTCTTTTATTAAATAAAAGAACAACAACAAAGAAAAAAATCCCAGACAAATATGGGATTGTTTGTTACTGTAACTATAGTAGTAGGTTAGTATTTCTTTTCTTTTTTTAAATGTAAGTAGCCACTTAGAGATAAGCAGCTCTTTTGTATTTCTGGTGGAAAACTTTGGTTTATGTTTTGAATTTATGTCTTAATAACAGTAAACTGCATGCTCATGTTTTTGGTGGAATTATTCTGTGATGCAGTTTATAAACTATAGATTGTAATTCTGTACTTTCAAAGTCTGCCCGAGCAGTTGATGATATAATGGGTCATGTGTACACTAAAGTTACTTTATTTAGTGACTCTTCTCTGACTATAGCTAGTGCTTGGTTTTAATCTTTCAGTTTTCTAATAAATTACTTCCTAGATATATATCAAAATTTACTTTTAGTAGAAACATAGTTTAAGATAAAATTAAATAACTAAACATACTAGAATATATGGCATTTCTAAATGAAAGCATATATGCAAGCATTTTCAAAATGTTGAAATTGCTATTTGGGAATATGTATAAACCTACCATATATTGTTCCAATAAATTTGGAATAACTTCAGTGCTCCTTTTTTTTTTAACTAATGGTCTATTCACCATTAAAGTCATCCTAATTAATCTTCCATAAGATACATCTGAAATTAAAAAAATGACTTCAAAAGTCTTTCTCTTTTTTTTAAGGGGGAAACTTTTGTTTTGATGAACTCGAGTGTGATATAAGTGGAAAAGAAGAGTGTCTTATTAAGTATTTATGTTGAAAAAGTGTAGTTTTTACAAAGTTCAATACCTGAAATCCTTTTTATTTATTTTCATGTTTTATTTTATTTTACCAGAGTACTGCAGTAGACTGTAAAATAACATCATCTACAACTGGAGATAAACACTTTGATAAAAGTCCCACTAAAACAAGGCACCCTCGGAAAATTGATCTAAGAGCTCGATACTGGGCATTTCTTTTTGACAATCTTCGCCGGGCAGTAGATGAAATCTATGTTACTTGTGAATCAGATCAGAGTGTGGTGGAATGTAAGGTAAGGTTTCTGTTGAGGCTTTGGAATCCATTTATAGTCATATTCTCCAACTTTTGCTACATCTGACTTGATCATTTACCTGAGTTTTTCTAGTTTTAATCAATTCTGTATGCTTTTCATTGCATTACCTCTTATGAAAAATTACTTTTTTGCTCTGTGTACTAAAATCAGCATTATGCTTCTGACTTTCTTGATTTTGACGAGTGCATTTTTTGTTTTTCATTATCTAATCATATATTTTATATTCTGTGAAAGATTTGGTAGAAAGCTGTCTTGAGGCCAGGTACAGTGGCTTATGCCTGTAATTCCAGCACTTTGGGAGGCCTAGGTGGGAATATTGTTTGAGACCAGCTTGGACAACATAGTGAGACCTCATTTCTACAAAAAAAAAAAAAAAAAAATTAGCCAGGCATGGTGACATATGTCTATAGTTCCAGCTACTCGGGAGGTTGAGGCAGGAGTATCTCCTGAGCCCAGGAGGTCAAGGCTGTGGTGAACTATGATTGTGCTACTGCACTCCAGCCTGGGTGACAGTAAAACCCCAACTCAAAAAAAAAAAAAAAAAAAAATAGAGCTGTCTTGATACACAGTCTTTGGCAGAGAATCAAAAGGTTGGATATACACTACATACAAAAAAATTATTTTAAAAATCTTTCTCATTTGCAGTCTCTATTGATACTATAGGTGGCACTAGTGAGATTTTTACATTTTTTGGTTTCATGTTTAGTTTAGTGTCTTTAATTGGACATTGCACCCTTTCTGTTGAGATGCTTATCACTCTCTTAATTCACCTTGGTCAGGGAAAAGTGAGATTGATGGCTAACAATAAACAACTCTGAGTGGGATTGGGATATAGCTCTAAGGTGTGTATTCTAATTTTAAATAACCTTTCGTTCATAAGAGGATATCAAACAGGCACATAGTATAGGTTGTCTCTAAAATTATAAAATATAAAAAACCTTGGATTTTAGTAAATACAAGCCATATTATCTTTTATTGAATAAAATTATTTTGAGAAAAACCAGAGTTATACATCTTCATAGAAATATTAAAGAGGTATCATCTATTTTTATAGTGGACATGGTTAAAACCTCTGGAATTCATTATTTAGTCTTCAAAATATATGACAGTTCAGAGAAAAGTTATATGTTGAGACAGCAGCTGTGTTTCCTCTTAAATTGGAAACAGTCAAAATAGGTTTTAGGCTAACTTAAAATATGATATATTAAAAGCAGTGTTCAAAATGAATAGTTGTTGAAACCAAATACATGTGTAATTGTTTCAGTTAATATTGTTACTATCAGCATGTGAAAACTTTTTATGTTTTAAGAAAAATTAAACCAATCTGTTAAAAACATAGAGGCCAGGCTCGGTGACTCAGCCTGTAATCCCAGCACTTTGGGAAGCTGAGGCGAGTGGATTGTTTGAGCCCGAGGGTTTGAGACCAGCCTGGGCAACTTGGCGAGACCTCATCTCTACTATAAAAATTGTACTTTGAGCATCACCCTTACATTTCCCTTCCCCTCTTACAAAGTGGGCTAGAGGCTGGTCTTGGGGAGATTGACTTTTGGAGTGTACATAGTTAATGAAGTGGTGGCCATCCCTTTCACTTGTTTTTATGAAAGTTTGAAGTAAGACTTGAAAGAATTGGTTGTAAAGTGTGGGGTGAGGTTGTAGGAAGGGGAGATGGGCATTATCTTCTTCGGTTGAATGTTTGCTGTATAGACTGATTTTGGTGTCTCTGGAATGTGTTGAGAGAGTTTGGGGGGAAAGCCTGATGGGAACACATTTTACTTTCCTTTTCCTGTTTCCTGTTTCATCCGGGGGAAACCATATGTGCCTGTGGAAGCTTAGGGTCACCTACATACATAAACCTACATACAGAAACTGGTACCTACATCTGTCTTAGAGATTTCATGGCACGATAGACTTCCTAGAGTAGCCTGTGGGCTCAAAGAGACTCTAGGATAGTATGCTTTGGAAGGAGTTCTCAGTGATTAAAGGGGACCCCAGTGAGTCTTGTAGTTTATGTGAGGGAAGAAGCGTAGACATAAATGAAGATTCTATAGTTACAGCGGCTTCTGCTAGCGACACTTGGCTAGGCGACTTGAAAAACTCTAATGGGCAGAGGGAGCCAGTGTGAACCTGCACACTGCCTAGAGAGCTATACATGCTGCCTGTGCAGAAATCACCATCTACTGCAGAGATGAGTACAGGCCAATGACCTCAGCCTCAGACTCAGTCAGAGAGAGACCATGGACACATTTCTTACTGAAAGCACTTGTCTCTATTGGCATTTGGCATTTCTTGAGCCCTGGAGAAGGACTGGCTGATGACTGTAGCAGACCGAATGTTTGGGAAGCTCTTGTAAGTAGAATATTGCTCTCTTCCCTCAGCATCTACTTATGGTAGAGGATAGAAGTTTGTAAAAATGGGAGAATGGGAGAGGAAGCATGGGAGAGAAAGGAAGAGAGACCAGTGAGAATAAGCCAGGTCCTTCCCCACCATGGGCACCTGGTAGAGAGTGTGTAATTCTCACTTGTGCTAATGAAACAGGTTGTTCATAGATGAGATTTAAAAACTATGCTTTGATAATTAAGTGTGACTGAAACATTTTGGAATTTCATTGGTTATAATCAGCAAGTTTAGGATTAAACTGAGCAGTTATGGGGGAAAACAAAATTATTCTGTTTATATTTTATTGAGTTGAGACTTTTCAGTTCACCAAGTTTTAAAGATCAAAATGAGATGTGAGAAAATGCTTTGAAAGGTATGATGTGCGATAAAAAGAAAATATACTTGGAAAAAAGAGAGTCATCAATGGAGAAAGAGGAATATGAGTCTAGGAACTAAGAATCATAGAGGTGTGAAGGAGACCAGGAGATTAGTAATGTCCTGAAAGCCATGGAAGGGGTAAGAGTATTGCAGATGTCAAGAATAACTGCAAGCCTGGGCGTGATGGCTCACATCTGTAATCCCAGCACTTTGGGAGGCTGAAGTGGGAGAATTGCTTGAGCCCAGGAGTTTGAGACCCCTGGGCAACATAGTGAGACTTCATCTCTACAAAATATCAAAAAATTAGACAGGAGTGGTGGTGCACACCTGTAGTCTCAGCTTCTTGGGAGAAGCCTAGGAAGTTGAGGCTGTGGTGAGCCATGATTGCACCCCTGCACTCCAGTCTGGGTGGCAGTGAGACCCCCCCCAACTTAAAAAAAACGAATGATTGCAACTGTGAAAAAACCTTTTCTATTTGACATTCAAGAGGAACAAGAACAGATGGGATCAAAGTGAAAGTTTGTGGTAAGAATTTAAATTTCATCTAATGGGTTCTTTGCCCTTTTTATTTTTGAAAAGCAGAAGGTGTGGGGTTGGAGGTTTGAGAATTGAAAAGGTCTAAAATAACTGCGATATAGACTGGAAAGCCTGGCTTATAGAAACCACAGGATTACCTGGAAGCTTTGAAGGTCACAGTTGAGAAATTCTTCTTTTCTTGCGTCTTCAAGCTTTTATTAGCATCTCCCATCATCATTTAACATGTTTATTTCTCTTCCATCCTAAAAACCAGATAAAATCAACCAACCACAAACCCTCAAATTCTTTTTCTATTTTACTTGTCTTTTCATCCACTCCCCCAGCCCCCGTATTTCTTTATTCCATCTTAGCCAAATTTCTTGACGGAGTTTTCTATATCTGTGGCCTCCACTTTCTTTTCTCCCTTGCACTCATTCCATTCCCACATCCTGTGAGTATTTCTGTTAAGTTCTTATAAAGGTGGCTCATCATGTTTGTATTGCTAAGTCCAGCTGAATATTTTTCAGTCCGTTCCATAATCTCTGAGCAGGACTCCACACTGTTGACTTCTGTCTTCTTACAGCACTCTATCCACTGGCTTTCATGGAATTCCCTCTGTCAGTTTTCCTTATCCTTTGGTGGCTACAACTTCTGCATCCTCTTTATTGGCTTTTTCTTTTCCACCTGACCTTTAACTGTGGGAGGTCATTAAGGCTCATTTTAGGCCACGTTCTTCTTTCATGGGTCTTATACTTTCTCTCTCTCCAGTTTTCTCCAGGTCACTTATCTTCTGATTTTCAGACTTATATGTCCAACTTGCCTAGTTGGCATCTCCACGTGAATATCTCAAAACATTTTAAACTGGCACATATAAAACAAAATTTATGATCTCCTTTTCCCACCCCAAACCTGGAGGTGTATTGGTCTTTGCTGAATGGCAGGTACTACCTCCTCCACCCATGCTTGAGAGCTGGCAGACATCCTTGCTTCCTCCTCTCACCTCACAAAATCACCATCCATTGAATTAACTTCTTTCAGAATTGTCTCCTAAATCTTTCGAATTTGTCTATTTCTCTCATTCTCCACTGTTGCCATTCTGGTCCAAGCTGTCATTATAAAATGCTTGGATTATAACTGAAGCTTTTTTTTTTTTTTGAGTTGAAGTCTTGCTCCTTTGCCCAGGCTGGAGTGCTGTGGCATGCTCACAGCCATCCCAGTGTTGACCTGCTGGGCTCCGGTGATCCTTCCACCTTAACCTTCCAAGTAGCCAGAACTACAGGTGCATGCTACTACACCTGGCTAGTTTTAGATTTATTGTAGAGATGAGGTCTCATCAGGTTGTCCGAACTGGTTTCAAACCCGCGGCTTCAGGCAATCTACTCACCTCAGCCTCCCGATGTGCTGGGATTATAGGCTGAGCCATCAAGCCCAGCCACAACTGAAACCTTCTAACGGGAATCCCTGCATACTTCCAATCTATTCTCTGTACTACAGGCAGAAAGATACTTAAAAAATCACAAATATGACTCTCTCATACCTTTGATTACAGTCCTTCACACATTTTCCTTACTCTGAGCATCACAATCTGTAATATGACCTTTAGATCTTGAGTGACTTGGTTCATGCATACTTCATTCTATACCACTTTTCTTTCTTCCCTTGAACCTCATTTATTTATGTTTTCTTATTTATTTATCTTTTAAATCAGG